GCATCGCTAGTAGTAACAGGTGCCCTACTAGTAGTAACAAGAAGCTTATTTTTGCAATTCATTTGCTTGGTGACCGTCTCAGGAAGGTCTCCTACTCTGAGACGGCCCGCTTCCATAGCCACCATGAACATCCAGTGGATGGCAAGGTGATGCATCCATTGATTTGGAATTTGACACGCTTCCATCCCTTCTGGGCTCTCATGGAGATGACCATGGGTGACTCGGCGTTGAGCAGCTTTGGTTTTTCTTTCGTTGTTCTTAGTTGTTCTTCCCTTTTTCCTCCACCTCTGTAGATGAAATACAATCCTGCTCCATCGCAAATGACCACACATCGCACCACCATATACACACTTTCTAGCATTACATTTCACCACAGTACACTTCACATGCGAGTACTATCCCTGATCACTCTTTGAAATGTAAGCTGTAGTTTTCGCTTTTTGGTGGTTGGTTGGTCGGTTGGTTGGTTGGTTGGTTGGGGTGGTGTGAGTGGGTGGGTGGAGGGCAGTCCAAGTGCACCTGAGGCATTGTTGCTGCCCGGCATGTGATGTTGGACACCGAGGAGGACAAGAAGAAGCCTCAGATGAACCCTATTTGGCTCTTCTTGGCTGCTTATGTCTCTCAGCCTGTTTGCCAGCGTAGTCTGGTCATCCAAGGTCAAAAGCTTTTTGTCAGTACCCGGACCAGAAGTCATGAACAGAGGTGCTATGCAGTAAGATATTTTGACATCTTGAGATAGAAACCAAACATCTCTTGCTTCACACATATTTTGTGCAGAACATATACTTGTTGAGAGAATCACCATGATACATACTGTATGTATGAATTTGTGCAGTTGATTTGTTTTGTAGGAACAACATTTTCACAACCAAGGCTTCCTTGGGACTTCGCCTGACGCAGTTTGACTTTAACGACGCCATTGTCCGTGTCTTGTTTTTTGATTCATGTAAACGTGACTGAGCAAGGCTTTGAGGCTTTGCATAATCGCTTCTTTGCTCTACAAAGGTATTGCCTACGAACTTATAGTAAGTCTCTCTCTATATATATGTACATTGTATGTATATTATGAATCTTCTGACACTATGGGACAATGTTTAGTCTATAGGGCAGACTTCTACTCAGGGGCGGCGGAGCGGGTGTGCTTTGGTAGATTTTCGACAGCCCTCTCGAACCTCGATTTGCGTGCAGGTGGTGTGCTGTTTGTGCCACTGTTCACCAAGTTCCTGACTGCCATGCACCGAGATGCATTGACTCCCGAGCCATCTGCTATCACCAAGTTCTTCGGATGCAAAACCATGGCCACCTTGGGCTCCATTGCGTTCCCAATGTTCATTGTTCATGGTCCTCTGGGCCAAATCTTCTACAAGAAGGCAATCGCCAAGAAACTGTGGGGCAAGCCAATGCCTCACGCATTCTTCCCCTTCTACCTGGCCATTTGCTTGGGTATCAGCCATCTTGTGAATGAGCATTTTGTGAAGAACAAGAAGGTGGGTGCCATTGCCGGGAAGGTGGCACAGACCCTTGCTGGATGGACTGAGGGCATGTTGAGGGATAAGGCATAAGGATGCATAAGGGCACAAGCCGTTTTGTTTCAAATGCAAGGAGGAACAACAAGCCTTCGCTATGAGGGCTGTGTTGATGCTCATGCAATGTGCGGTTAACGCACTGTTGGGAGGTGAGGCGCAACTCGATTAAACAGCTAAAGCTCTCTAGATATGACAGCAATGGTTAATCAATCCAATGTGTGTGACTTGTGTCAAGCGACCTCAAAACCTGTACAGTTTTGGTGTGGCTGTTCTTCTGCAAGAGGATTGCAGGGCTCAGCCACTCATGGTTCCAAAAGGTCAACCGACCGAAAGTATCGTCATCAACGACTCAATGACCATTCGCTTTCAAAGAAGAGCCATTACGCCAGGAGTTTGAATCAATCTTGTAACAATGATAGCGATGATATGCGATGATCATCCATACTTCCAGGATCTTTTAGCCCTGGCCGTCGCCTCCCTCAGCTTGCATGCTGAGACTGAGTCCAACAAAGTCAGTTGCCATTGGGAGCACCCAATTCCACTGGAGGATCTACTTGGCTGGTGGCTTTGACGGTAGCTTCCTATCCAACGTGGAGGTAGGATTAGGATGGCATGATGGGTGCACATGAACCTGTAGATTCTCAAGGATTATTTTTGAAGTCATAGAGCGCTTTGAAATGCGAGCAGGACTGATGTGCTTGGCCCGCATGACAAACTAATTGACAGTGAAAGCCAGGATTGTTGTTGCCTTATCTACGCAACATAGCGACATAGAGTCTATCTTGTAGCTGTGAAGATGTAGACTTGTATCCACATTGCCAGTTCAACTTTGTTTGGGTAAGTATGCAACAAAATGGCCAACGGCTGGTGCCTTCCACATGCGTCCACCTCTTTCTCTTGGAGGTCTTCGACCCAGCCTGGAACCAGTGGTCCTCGGGTCCTCCGATGCTTCAACGACGAGGCCGAAGGCTAAATCATACCTTGAGGAAAGCACGAGACTGGCTCTAAAGGCTCTCAGCAAAAGCCAGAGTTTCTTGATGAATGAACCATAACAGCGGGAGAATTGGAAGATACATGAAGATACTGGATACTGTAATAACAACGTGTCGATTGCGCTCTCCTGAGAGAATGGACGTTTCTGCTTTTGGGTTTGGTGCGACATTACGACGGTGCACAGGTGGCTTGGGCTTGGTGGCCTCCAGCGTGCTTCCCAGATCGTGATAGGTACACTTTCAGAGTGAGAATTCAGGTGTAATGAGAATAAGGGGTTTGAGTTGGTGGAGCACCACGAATTCAGATCTGGGTACTGTATACAGATTGATATTTATATATGTACATATAGATCTACAGTACATGTATTGACATACATACATACATACATACATACATACATACATACATACATACA